TGATATTAACATAATATCAATATTTTTGTCAGTGAGGAAAGTCTGTAGTTCGCTGCTATGTTGAGCTAGCCCATTAGCATTCCAGAAAGCAATTTTAAACGCACTCATTATTTTGATGTATTAGCGACGAACGCTGTTAAAATATTTAGCATAGTACTCATTTGTTGCATTAGTGTTTTAAGCATTACTTTCAGCTCTGACATATCGTTGTTTTCTGATCTTGTTTGTGGTTCACTAGTGATGGTTTGGCCGTTGCTTACGACATTAGAGTATGTTCGACCAGCTTGAACGAACTCTGTGCGCGTTGGTGGACTAGTGGTTTCTTTTCTTCGGAGCGGTGGAAACGCTTTTTGTTGAAGCTGCCTGTATACTTCACAGCCCTTGTAATTAGCGGGGTGATTTACGTTGCATAATACACATTTTACTTCATTGTCGACTACATTACGATTACACTCTGATGTCAAGTGATTACCAGGGCATTTTACACAACGGGGCGTTCGTTTACAGTAATGCTTTGTATGACCATAACGCTGACAACGAGAGCATTGGGGAATTTCGCGTTTTTTTCTTGGAGCTTCAAAAGTGATTTTTGTATGCATTAGGCTGTTACAATTGAAAATATTCTTGTTTGTATCTGATGGTTTCAAACCAATAAAAAATAACGGTAGTGGATTTTTGGTTGTTCGTTGACGTATATTACTTATATTGGCCACCTTAAAGCCTAAGCTATTTATCGCCTCTTCGATTTCACCGACTGGCATAGAAGGATGCATGCCTCTCAATACAACGTTAAAACTTCTGTCTTGTTTGAGTTTATAGGTATGGAACTCAGTTTTTTTGGCTTCAAGAGCCTTAGTGATTGCAGAGTATTTTTCTGGGCTACTAGGCTGTATTTTAACCTCATTGTTGGCAAGTATTTTAAAGTTATATTCACCATTAATATTCATTAATGGTTGTATATTACCGACTCCTGCAACAAATATTGGGGGAGGCTTCGAGATTGTAATTTTTTCATTTTGCTCAATGGACTTTTCTGATGAATGAGAGTCTTCATCTAGCACGGAATATCGGTTAGAGTTTTTTTTGGGTTCAGTTGACAACCAATAGGTATCCAGCTTCTTTTGTTTGAAATTTGAACTTTGTCGAGCTCCTTGGGGACTTGAACGACTTCTTTTTGACGAGTTTACCCGTTGCCATTCTGGTTGCGTTGTTTCACCAAATCTTTTTGTATAAATGGAAGTGTTTATTGGCGTGCTTTTGACGCTACTTACCGATTGAGTGTCGCTTTCTTCGTCACCAGTGTATTTCCACATTTTTTTTTGGCTGGAATTGGTGTTGTTTGCGTTTTTTGATGAGAAGCTCATTGGATTATTAATTAATTTTATTTTATTAGCTATGGCAATTTCACTAGCTATTTTTGATATATTTCCTTCAGTAATTTCTTTATGTAAAGGTTTGGTTGTGGATTGTTCATTTATTTTAACGTCCTCTGTACTTAGCATTATATAGCCATTTAGACCATTTTCACTAATTTGAGAATGCCGTCGTATAACTTTTTCGCTCATATAATAGTTTTCAATATATTAGCAGTTTGTTCATTTAATTATTTAAAAAATTTAATATTTATAATTAATAAAATTTATTTTTTTAAAAACACTTAAAACTTATACTGTGGCAACACCACATTTACAATTTTAAACTTTCGTTAACTTTCATATATATATTAATAATATAAATTTCAAATTTTACTTAAGAATTTATCAAATAATATTTTATTTAATTATTTTTATTTATTTGTTTATTTATTTTATTTATTTAGCATGAGTTTGTTTTTTTTGACTACATAATTACACAATTATACACATTCGTGCCTTGTAATTTGTTTACATAACTTACTCTTTTGCAACACTTTTATTGTAAATTTATTTGGAGCATTTAAGCTTTATTTGCTGTTTCTATCAGCTTTTTTTTGTGCCATTAGAGGTGGAACCTTCTAAAGATGCTGTCAAAGCATGCCCGATTCATACTGTTCGCTACCACCGTTTCTCGGGTTTACGTAGGTACGATGCTCTTGCATATGCCAAACTTGCGCCTACGGACTAAACCTTAACCCCTATAAATAATGCTGCCCTTTAGAAAACGTCCTGCGGGACCGCCTGTTCCGTTATTACTGTGTAGGTTTAGGTTTTTAAGTTGTTCTGTTATTACTGCTATCATATTTAAAATGTATATTCACTTAGTTTTTCTTTTTATTAAAAACGCTTAACTGTAGTTTAGGCAATTAAGTTGAAATCACTTTCTTTATTCAATTAAAAAACTTTCATACACAACTTATCGCAGCAAGGTTTCCACAAGTTCTGGTCAAAAAACAGCACATGTGCTTTCTGCTCGTGTCAACTGCTTCTGCCGTTTTTCTGTCGTCTCGAAAAAGCTCCCGCTCATCAGAATCGACCGGTTTATTTTCTGCATGACACTCATCTCTCTTATACGAGCTCTCTCTATTTAGTACCGGCCTACCTAACTACGACGACACCCTACTGAAGGTGCATCCACAACATCCCTTCACCCTTGCGGAGGAGCTTTAATGCTCCTGAAAGAAGGAAACTTTGGGTTGTTGATCTGTACTGTGCGGCTCCGTGTAGCGGTATTATTGAGAAAATGTTGACCGTGGCAGCAAATGCATAAGTGGTATAATGTATAGTTCTTATCATATTAAGAAACTTACTTTATATTTTGATATAAATTTGATTTTACAATAATCCTTGAGTATTATAACATATTAATAATACATATATGTGACATATGAATTAAAATTTTAAATACAAATCAAAAATTTTTTTTCTCTTTTAAATTGTTTTTTTTTTAAAATTTTTTTTTTTTTCTAAAAATTTTACATAAATCTTATAGTATCTTAAAAATATATAAGTGAATGTATATTTGTTTACATAGATAACTAATGCATTAAATACAATTTTATCTCATTTATAAATCAAATAAAAATCAATTTTCACATTAATCTTATGGTATCTTCAAAATATATAAATGAATGTATATTTGTTTACATAGATAATTAATATATCAAATACAATTTCAATTCAATTTCAAAATTTTCCGTATTTTTTCCCCCTTTTTTTTATCAGTTGCTGTTCTGTATCTACAGTTTCAACTATAAATTGCTTACTAAAAAAAAGATAAATAATATATGTTATTATATACAAATTCTAATTGGACTATGGTGTCGATTTACTTCAAATAAAATTTTTGTTTAAATATATCTCTTTGTTGTTTATTTATCATCTATGCGTCTTCTCGTGTCTATATATTCTAACGATTCGAATGCTATAAAAAAAAATAAACTTGTTTAATGAGTAAAGAACCGTCACTTTTACGTACAAATTCCTACATCATATTCTACGAAAATCTTATAGAAGTTACTACACTCAATAGCTTGGATCGTAAATAGAATAATTCAACAAATCCGTCAGCTGACTATTAGAGTTGCATTCTCTTATACCTAACCCTTGTCTTATCGAGCTGAGAAGGCAGCCTGAGATCAACTGGTATATCAATATAGTTCAATTACGAAGAATTGAACGAAAATACGTTAAGGAGGCATGTCCTCGTAGAATGGTTTTATCAAGCCATTGTGGAAGGTTTTCAACTTCCCTTTGATCAAAATTTTTACGTTCACGTTACTCGGTACACCTCTTATTACATAGCGTCCTTCCCAGATTGGTGAGAATTTGTTTTTGCTTGCGTGATTTCTAAAAAGCACCTTTTCCCTAATATTATACTTCCTCCCCCTTATTCCCTTATCGTAATACCTCTTGGATTTTTCCTTAGCTCTATTTTGATTTCTCCTCACAGCATCGTGACATTTTTGGATTTGGTACTTCAAAATCTTGAAGTAATCCTCCGGGTTATACACAGGAGAGGGTTTGATCCGTAGGGCCATGGGGAATTCGGTGTCGAATGCAAATAGTGTTTTACTGGGTGTCTGTTTCAAGGACGTGTGCACAGTATTATTATGGACGTGCATCGCGTGGAAATCCACCACTAGCTTCCATTTCTTTTCCCCATTCGTACTCATTTAACATCTTGTTGACTTGGTTATTTATTTCCTCTTTCTGAGTCTCGGGTAGCCGATATTGCTTTATGTTAATCTTTGCGATTCCCGGCGCCGTTAGTATTTCATGTTCGAGGACTTTTGTACATGATAGTTTATCTTCTTTAAGCATAAATAAATCGCTGTAATCGCCGATTATTTGCCTAATGCATTTTAACTCTTCGCTATTTAGCGTTTCGTCTAAACGAATAGTGTTCCAGAGTGTAGTACATCTACTTGCTTTGTCATCTTCATTCATATGGTCTTGGGACCTAGCTATATTTATTTGTGACGACTCTATACTCCCGTCATCCTCCGTATATTTTTCGTAATTTATTGTCGGAATGTTTATAAGTTTCACTGGCCATTCGTTTGCATTGAGTACCGGAACGTAGCCAATGTTCTTAACAATTTTTGTTAAAGTTGCCCCTATGTACACATTGGGGAATATTTCCATTTTGTCTACTACAATCTCACTCAAACCTAAACCTACTCTTATTGGAACTATTTTCGTCGCTCGGCCTGGAATCGTTATAGTGGTAGCTATACAGATTCGGTTGCCGTCGACTCCTGCAGTTAGAGGCAAGGTTGTTTCGTGTGTGTCCAACCGCACACTCTTATGTACAGTAACTACTACGGCGCGGTTCCATAGCTCGTCCCTACCTAGCAGCCCATCTGCTGATAGTACGGTTCCTTCTGGCACCACATGCATTTTAAACTGCAGATGAGGGATTAATGCATGCTGAATTCTTACTGTACCAAAGGTTTCGGTACTTTCTCCGAATGCTCCTACTAGGTGTCTAATATCCCCTGAGTCATACTCAAGTTGCTTTTCAAGAGATTCGGCTTTAACTAAACTCGTGTCTGCGCTAGAATGGACTAGAAGCGTTAGGTGCTATTTCGCCGATTGATCGCACGGTATTAATATAAATGCGTCATCATTTACTTGACTGCTTGATTCTCCGACCCCACAGTTTCTTCCGACATCGAACATGCAACCGCCATTAGTGTTGTCATTTTTCCCCAAGTTCCTTCCTTTGTGTATCGTCCATTTGACGATGTTCAAAATAATGATTACCCCCATTAATACCCATATGATTATGGCGTTATATACTTTTCCGAGCTTCTCGGTTGTCTGTTCTGCTATATCTTGGTCACCCATAGGTCCTAACACACTTATATCCTTGTTGAAAGTTGCTTTTTTATTTTTTATTGATTCTGCTACGCATTGCAGGTTCACATTCTGACCTTGTCGCCCTTTTGTCGAGATTATCTGTGTGGCCCTGGCACCCACACGGTTCGGAGCCTCTTCTCCCCCCTTTTCACTTCTGTTCCTCTAAATGGTGTATTATTCCCCTCCAATATGATTTGTCTATCATTTCGTGTGAATATTTTCTCCCCATTAATATTAATAATACCGAACAAGTTACTATTCAACTGTATCTGATCCTTCAAGATTTGCCCTTTAGCTAACTTTTCCTTTTCGGAATTGCAATCTATAGGCGAAAACTGGGCCGGTTTTAGTTTACCGAGATTTGGTTCTGTTGATTTTCTTGTGGAAGAGAACCCCTTCTATTCCGGACATCTAAGTATCCTACATACCTTCTGTACGCTACTTGGTGCTAACCCAGATCCTTAATCTGTGTTAGCTTGGTAGCCAATTTTTATGTGTAAAGTAGTTTGAGCACTTGTAACCCAAACTACTTGTATTTTTTATGTTGATTAGTTTGAGCACTTGAGACCCAAACTAATCGATGAGAGCAAGTAATAAATGAAAGTTATAATTGCTTTGTATTTCAATTCTGTTCCTTCTGAACTTTATTAAAATTATTTCTTATATTTATACAAAATTATTACATTAAAAAGCTATTAAATTATGCATTAATTGACAATAAATATTAATGCATAATTCACAAATAAATAAATTTGCCTACGCTGTGCTGACATAATTATAGGCCAACATATTACACACTTTCTTCAGTGCATTGACCAACAAGAAAAGTTGATAATGCAAAATTGCACTTTTCGTTGGTCAATGACTGGTCGCAGTGTTGGCCCAAATAATATGTAAACACATGTAACCAAATATCATAACAAAAAAAATATAAAATAATATTAACTAAATACAAACATAAACATTCTCCCCGCCGTTGAGTGCCAACTCAACTTGTCCTAGGTTGTGGTCACAGTGAAGTCCAAATTTTGTTGACGTAATTCTGCATTCTGCATATCATTTTCTCGTGTTGAAATTAGTATTTCTGACATATGTTATGTTTGGTTTTCCAAGTAATGATTATTATTATTGTTATAGAAATTAACAACGCCAAATAACTTATCGTATGATGATGAATACTGTTTAATCGCACTCTAGAGGGAAGATACTTCAAGTTTTCCTTAGTTAGCTGGTTTTGTGATTCCGAACATAAACGTTTGATGGTTTTAGTCCCGTTGTTGAATGAGTCCATTTCGGTCCAATATGGATGAAGATCATAGTAAACAATCATTTTCCATTCTGCCGTTGCTACTTTCATCAAGCCAATGGATTCAAAGTATATTCCTAAATTATTGTCGAAGCGTGTTACATTCACTGAATTCCCTAATACCAATGGCAGGAATAATAGAGATAATAACATTGTGCACTGTAACGAATTAGACATTGGCCGTGAATACTTTTTAGGTGGCTCGTCTTGATCTGCGCCTTCGTGTGTTGTTTTCGAATTCGCTTTTGTAAAACTTTTTGAAAGTTGTTCATCAGAAACAGGAGATTGGTTATCGGCTGGAAACAGAGGCGCTAGTCTTGTCAAAGGACGCGAACAAAACCGTCATCTCCCTTATATACCTTTGAAATACGTCCAAGCGGCCATTTTAATGTAGGAACATTGTCTTCCTTGATGATTACAAGGGTACCTTCTTTTATATTTGGGTTGGCTGATTTCCATTTGTGTCGACATTGTAGTTCAGTGAGGTACTCGGTTTTCCAACGTTCCCAAAAGTCCAATTTGAGGCGAGAAACTAATTTCCACCTTGTCACCAAATTTATATTTCCTGATTGGACATTTGCATCTGCCATTGCTGTGAGCGGTTCTCCGATTAAGAAATGACCAGGTGTTAGTGCTGACAAGTCATTCGGATTACTCGACATAGGTGTCAATGGTCGAGAGTTCAGTATTGCTTCGACTTCTAGTACCACAGTCTCTAGTTCCTCATATGTTAGTGAAGTCGTCTTAGTACTTCGTATCAATAAGTGTTTTGCTGATTTGACTGCTGCTTCCCATAGTCCACCGAAGTGTGGTGGACGTGGAGGTATAAATTTAAATGTTATTCCTCTTTCATTACATTCGTTAATTATCTTCTCTTGTGCCTTGCTTGTTTGAATTGAGTCTGCAAGTTCAAGTAATTGATTGCTTGCTACCACGAAATTTGTGGCATTGTCACAAAACAAATTTTTGCAGTGTCCTCTTCGAGCGTTTCAGCGATCCGATAAATGCATCTGTGGTTAAATCGCTAACTACTTCGAGGTGAACTGCTTTAGTTGTAAAACAACAGTACACAGCAATGTATGCCTTGTGTGGTTTCTTGCCTCGGATTCTGTAATGTATCCAAAAAGGTCCGCAAAAGTCCACTCCAGTGGTGAGGAATGGTCGCCCAGGTTGTACTCTTGTCGCTGGCAAATTACCCATCAGTTGTTCATAAAATCGTGGTCTTACTTTAGTACAACGTACACAATGTTGTACTACTGACCTTGCCATCAATTTGCCCTTAATTGGCCAGTATCGGTGACGCATGTTAGCTAGGAGAGACTGCGGACCACAGTGCATGTATTTCTTATGGACTTGCTCCATTATTAATTTGACAATGGGGTCATTATAAGGCAACAACATAGGATCCAAACGTCCACCAACTCTTATGATGCCCGTATTATCAATAAAAGGTGCCAGTGATGCCAATGCACTGGACTTATTTATTCTTCCATCAGATTTCATAATTTTGATTTCATTTTTAAATTCTGCATATTGAATACTTTTGATAATGACCTGTTGTGCTGCATCTAGATAATCTGGAGTCAAAAAATTGCTTGAATGATCATTTTGTTTCCTTCTGGTTCTTTTTACGAATCTTAATATATACGATAATATCCGTTGAAGTCTTCCAAATGAGTTGTTGTGTCGTATTGAATATATGAACTCTCCAGGATTTGCTGTGCCTTCAACAACAGACAATGTAGATACTTGAGTTTCCTTCTTCCGTTCAGGATCAATGAGGGTTTCGGATTTTAACGCTGATGATGGTTTTGAGGGCCACAGTTCTTCCCGACCATACAGGAACATAGGTCCATAAAACCACATACTTGATGACTGTAGTTTATGGGGTGCAAGGCCTCTTGATAAAATGTCAGCTGGATTGTGTTCCGAACTGACGGGGCGCCACTGACTTGTGGCTGTTAAAGGATGAATGTTGCTTACTCTGTTTGCAACGAAAGTGTGAAACTTTGATGATGGAGAGTTGATCCATGATATCACTATTTGTGAATCACACCAAAAGAACGTCTGGTAATTTCTTATTTGTAGGTCGTTCTTTATTTTTGTTGCTAGTTCTGCGCCAACCACAGCTGCACAAAGTTCGAGACGAGGTAACGTCAACCTTTTCAAAGGTGCAACCCGAGATTTGGCGCACAATAGTCGTACAATGATTTGACCATTCTGAAATGTTGATCGCAAATACGCTGCAGCACCATATGCCTTTCCTGATGCATCTGTAAAGATGTGTAATTGAATGTTGGCAGGAACTTCGCCTTTGAAAATATGACGAGATATCTGCAGACAATTTACTTTTGTCAAATTGTTCCGGAACTCTAACCACTATTTATGTAATTCAGTCGGCAGTTTTTCATCCCAATCCATCTTTAAATTCCATAATTCTTGAATAAAGATCTTTGCCATCACCACAACTGGTGACAAAAGTCCTAGTGGATCAAATAGTCTTGCTAAATCTGAGGTTGCACTGCGCTTCGTCGTGCTGCAAACAGGTTCCAATTTAACCTTGACGCATAAACTATCAGATTTTGGACACCAGGATAATCCAAGAGTTTTTGTTGTATCGTTATTATTTTCTAAATCTAAATTGACTTCTAGGTCATCGTGTGGAATTCCTTGTAGTAAACTTGGATGATTTGCGCACCATTTTCGCAATTTAAAACCGCTTGTTGTCAGTATTTTCTTTAATTGACTCTGAGTTTCCAACAATGTTCTTAGACTATCTGCCCCGTGTAAACAGTCATCTACATAGAAGTTTTGTTTGAGAGCAGATGCACCTAATGGATAATTTTGCATATTGTCATCAGCTAAAGCTTGCAAACATTTGGTTGCTAGACACGGTGCTGATCTAGTACCATATGTTACTGTGTTGAGTTCAAAGTACTTTATAGGTTAACTTGGTTCATTTCTCCAAACGATAAGCTGACATTGTCCGTCTTCTGGATGTACAAGTATTTGTCGGTACATCTTTTCAATGTCTGTTGTAAACACATAACGAGGAAGACGGAATCGTAATAAAATAGACAGTAATTCACTTTGAACAGTTGGTCCGGTGTGTAGTAAATCATTGAGAGATTGCCCTGATGTTGTTTTGGATGATGCATCAAATACCACACGTAACTTGGTGGTGGTACTGTCAGGTTTAAGCACACAATGGTGTGGGATAAAGTAATGTGGTGACATAATCCTTTCAATATCAATTTCGGTCATATGTCCCAATTTTTCATATTCATCTAAAAACTCTACGTATTGTCGTTTGAGGTGACTATCCTTTGAAAGTCTACGCTCTAGTGCTAGAAATCTATTTGTAGCAATGTCTTTCGAATCTCCCAAAGCGAATCTGTCATTTATAAAAGGAAGACGTACGATGAATCGTCCCGTAACATTCTGATATGTAGTTTGAGTGAATTGAGCTTCACATTGTTGCTCTGCTATTGACAAGACCTTTGAGTGAATATCAACTTCTTCAACCTTCCAGAGTTATTCTATTGCATTTTCTTAACTATCTTCTAATGCTATTCCACATGTTGCAATCATTGTGTTAGCATTTTGGATTTTTCCAGATACGATCCATCCGAGCACAGTGTTCTGTAGAATTGGTAGTTCCCTTGAAAGTTGTATTTGACCAGGACTTAGGAGTTGATGATAAAATTCTGCTCCAAGCAACATATCAATTTTGTCAGACTTATAGAATGTAGGATCTGCTAATTGGATGCTATTGGGCAGATTCCAATTTGAAATTTGTAAGTGCTGTGATGGTTGATTGGATACAATTTTTGGCAACACAAATGCTTCAAGTATTGTATCCAGTACTGCTATGCACTCGACTGTTCTTCCATTAGAGTTAGATGCTAAAAGTTTTGCTGTTCCCAAAAGAACGAATCTGGTCTGACCATGATTCATGGACGACATTAGAGTTGTTTGTGCAAGTGGCCTTGAAGTGTTTTCAACTAACTTATGATTTGATGGTTGAACTGGGTGTCTATTTTGATGCAACAGTATATTATGTCTTCTTTGGCATATAGTACAACCCCTGCTGGAGCATTGTAATGCCATATGACCAGGTTTCATGCAGTTTGTGCACAATTTATGACGTTTTAGTAAATCATACTTCTGTTGTATGGATTTACGTTTGAAAGTTTCACATGAAAATAATTGATGACTACTATTGCAAGTAATACATTTTCATCCTGAGTCTGTAGCTGAAAGTGCTACTGCTGGATGTCGTGGTTTGTGACTTTGTTTGTGGTTTTCATTCGTCATTGATTCGAATGTCTGAAATCTTCCTTCTAGGAACCGCAATTATTCTTTTAATGAAATTATTCTTCGGCTGTCTTCTAACGATTGCTCGAATGCCGTATGTGAAGCTTTGTCTAGCTTTCTAATAATTACGTGAACCATTATGGCGTCCCAAGATTTAACATCAATACCTTGAGCTGCTAATCCATAATAAAATTTTTTTGTAACATCATGTATGCCCTTAAGACTGCTTGCTGATTCAATTGTTATATTTGGTTGTGATAACAATTTATTTAGTAATGGTGTCACCAAGAGTCGTTTATTGTCATACCGATTTGACAGAATATCCCAAGCTATATTGTAATTTTGCTCGGATATTGGCAGATGCCGTATGAGGGCTTTCGGCTCACCCGCCAAATTTGTAGATAGATGGAACATTTTATGGGCTGCGCTTATTGATTGATTATGGATCAATTGTTGAAACAAATCTCTAAATTCAATCCATTTCAAATAGTCTCCATCAAATGATCATGGATCAATTGTTGAAACAAATCTCTAAATTCAATCCATTTCAAATAGTCTCCATCAAATGTTGGTAAAACTATTTTTGGAAGTCTGATTTGTTGAGTTGCTGCAGGCCCCTCTGACGTGAATCCTTCAGTTGGTTGACTGTGTTGTTTTAAATATATTAACGCGTTTTGGGCATCTTTATCCGATGAATAGTATTGATCCCAAGTATATCCGACAATGTCTTCTGCGTCGGCTGATGACCATATTTCATCATTGTTATCCCTCAGATCCGTCTGATATTTTTCTATCAGAGAATATTTCAGATCATAATAACTAGGATGATGTTTTATGGTAATTTCCTCATAAATTTCATCTATGCTTGCGCGTAATGCGTGCATTAATGAGGATTGCTTTTTGATGTTTCGCATGACCGATGTAGCTTTGTTTGACCCTCTTGGGCTTACTACTGGCTTCCCGTCCTATGGTTTTGGGATTAGCCTTGATTTCTCCAACTTGAATCGTTCATCATATTTGACTACTAGATTGGAGATTTTTTCAAAGTAACCTGTACTGAAATACTCGTGTTCGAGTTCAGGTTGTGGCAATGCTTTGATTTCAGCATCATTTATTTCAAAATCATTCCATAGGGAATGTAGCTTCTTTAGTCGTTCTTCATAGTAAATGGAATCCTGCTTGCGGGTACTAGAATCCTTTTTGAAATTGGTTATCAGTCGCTCAATCTCTGTACCGAGCTCTGACTGCTTCTTTGATAACGCATCCATGGCGATGTTTGAATTTTCGGTCCGAAAATTCCAATAAATAGTTCAGCTGGTTAATGAATAGACCTTTTGGTGTGTCCTTTCGTAGGTAATTGACTCCTTCGATATGTATTTCGACAAAATGAAAGCTGATATTTTATTAACAATCACGTCGGGGTCACCAAAAAATGTACGCTACTTGGTGCTAACCCAGATCCTTAATCTGTGTTGGCTTGGTAGCCAATTTTTATGTGTAAATTAGTTTGAGCACTTGTAACCCAAACTACTTGTATTTTTTATGTTGATTAGTTTGAGCACTTGAAACCCAAACTAATCGATGCGAGCAAGTAATAAATGAAAGTTATAATTGTTTTGTATTTCAATTCTGTTCCTTCTGAACTTTATTAAAATTATTTCTTATATTTATACAAAATTATTACATTAAAAAGCTATTAAATTATGCATTAATTGACAATAAATATTAATGCATAATTCACAAATAAATAAATTTGCCTACGCTGTGCTGACATAATTATAGGCCAACATATTACACACTTTCTTCAGTGCATTGACCAACAAGAAAAGTTGATAATGCAAAATTGCACTTTTCGTTGGTCAATGACTGGTCGCAGTGTTGGCCCAAATAATATGTAAACACATGTAACCAAATATCATAACAAAAAAAATGTAAAATAATATTAACTAAATACAAACATAAACACCTTCTATTCTGATCGTAATTATTCTCGAAACGTGGTACTCCCAATTGCGTAGACGCATCTCTCCGATTGGGGTACTGTCCCCCGGACTGGTTAGCCCCTGAACTCTGAAAAACTGGGAGACTTCTCTCGGACGGATCGTGTCGTCCATTTCCTCGTCTCGCACTAGAGCCTCCAACTGGCCTATTTTTTCGTTAACAAAAAGTGTTTTCCTCATGAACATTTAAATTGCACATTCTGCAGAACATGGTCCTCAGCCTCTTGAAACAATCCGCCTCCTTATATCCTACTTTATTACAGAATTCGCAAACTAATCTCAGCTTTTCAGGTTTCCTGTTACTCCCAGTACAGGCTGGGCCGATCTCGTGTCCATAAGTACCACAATTCGTACAGTATGTTGTATACCTCCGTTGATGACATTCTTCTCGTACATGTCCTGGTTTTCTGCAAAACGTACAACAAATCACCTACTCTTCGGTTGATACTTTATAATGGATACTCCCCCCGTCTGTAGTCTTTATTAGGCACTCTAGACTTAAATGATCCTAATCTATTAGAGCCTCTCTCGTCGCTTCGTTTCGTGCCGTCTTTTAAAATTCCTGGAAGCTAGGGTCCTGAGGTCATTTAGCAGCCCACTTCTGTCCTCTTCCTGCCATCTATTGTTAATTAGGTCTATCCCATCCAGCAACAGGTTTTCCACCCGAGACCCGTAGGCCGTGGCGTCTTCAAGCACCCCCTGTGAGATATTCATTAATTTCTCTCGAGTTTGCTCCAAGCTACCTTTTCTGTAAAAATTTTTATAAATATAGTAACAAAATTCGTTCATGGTTGCAAATTCTTTACGACTCATTTTTGTATACGCCGGCCCCCGTAATCTCTGCTTAACGCACCTTATTATAGGGACATTGGATGAATTCGTTTCCCCCCCCCCCCCATTCTTGTCCACCAACTTACACCCTTCTACGAACCGTTCCACTTCTGCGGGTCCTTCGCCACCCGTAAAAATGGGGCATACATTGTTGACGGAGTTCATTATCGCAGTGATCTTTGCCATATTGCTTTGGTTTACTCCCCGTTGCAATGTGGGTTCGGAATCCTGTTCGAGCTTGGTTTCTACTCCTAGTGGCGAACTCAGTATTATGGTCGGGTTTGGAGATCCTGGCCTATTTAGCGTATCCAACTCTCGTTTAGTATTCTCCAACTGAATTCCGAGAGTCTCGATCTCCAGCTCCTGTTTTTGTTTCGCTGGTTTACTGTCCCCCACTACGTCGTTTATCTTCCCTACTTCTTTCCGTTCCAGAGCAGTTAACAACTTTTCGTTCTCCTCTTCTGCTACTGTCAGGAGTTCCGTTAACTCCTTCTGTCTCTTCCTAAAGTTATTACACTGCAACTCCAGGTCGCGTTTTGTTTCGTGCAGATGCTCCAGTTCTTTATCTAATTCACGGGATTTTATTTCTTCCACCTCTTCAATTAATTCCAACAAATAAGTGATTTCCGCTAGTTGCGACAGTCTCCTATTTTGTATATTGTCCTTATGGATTTCTGTGAATTCCTTTTTGGGTTTCAAAGAATTCAACTTTCTCCACGCATGTACTTGCAACGAGGCAATTAACGTCTGAAACTCGTGAACTTCCTGAGCTAAATCCTCGGCTCGCTTTCGTGCATCATCCATGAACTAATATATATTTAATATATGTAGGTACCTATAAACTTATATTATACGGTATTATACTATAATGTTATATTTTGTTTCGAACTATGAATTTTGTTCCCTTTCCTTAATGTGTTACCTACACTAACAACTATTCCAAAACTTCAAACTTATTTTCAATAAATTTTTCAACTTTTCCCCTATTGGGACTAGCTTGAAACTTAGTTTTTATAACTCTCAAGAAACACTTATAAAAATAGAACCACAACGCCAGAAAAATTTTACTCATATAATAAATTCCTTTGTTCCTTTGTTTTTCTCTTTTTTATGTTATGTTTTATATAATTTTTCAGCGTACTTCCTGTAATTTTTAAAAATGAAATAGCCGGTTTGTAGCTCGGATAGATAAGTATATAAAAATACAGACATGAAAATTTACAAGAAGTGTACTACAAGTGCTATATAAACATATTTAAAAAATTGCTCCAATTGGAAATTTTCAATAACCGGAATGTAAGTTTTTAATTTAATTTTTCCAACCACACTAATATTTGTATTTCTAATATCTAATATTATATATTATATTACAGTATATATTATTTGTGAATATTTTGAAAAATTGAGCACTATTGGCCTCATTAAAAATTAAAATTTGGAATAATAATTTGTTTAATAGATTGAATATCGACTTTTAAAATATTTTTAATCAAGAATTTTAATTTACAATTAATTTGAATTAAAAGATTTATTTTTATTACAAAAGAAATATAGAAATATTTTTTATATTTGAAATGAAAATTTTTTAGTCCTACAAATATCAATAAAAAGTATTTTTTTTTTAATTAAGATTTATTCAATATTCAAAGAACTTCAGATTTTGAATATTAATAAATTACAGCAAATATCATTCAAGGAATAGCAAATCTTTAGTTCTAAAAAGAAACAATTCATAATACGTATGTATGTGTACTTCATATTACTAATATCTAAATTATTACCAATAATTATTTTTTAATTGTCCAGATTTGGAAATTATTGCAGAAAACTAACCGCAAATCAAGAACGAAGCAAACTCGAAATCACTTTAATAAATTGTATTATAAATATTATAAATAAAATATACACTTCCTATATATAGTTTACAGTTTAATATTATTTTTGCCCATAAAATTCGTATTTTTGTTGCTATAGAGAAAGCAACATGTTTAGAAAACAATCGATCATATTGTTAGTCACAAACGACTATTGAACAGCTTACCAGCAACATGTTTACAATAGATATGAGTGAACATTTTTTCCTTATTATTATATATAACACTAGGAGGGAAAAGAAAACTAAGAGAAAATAGCTAAAACACAAATTTCGATAAATCTTCATTTGAAATTATAACGGAGTACATAAACTACCTTGTATATTGTATATTATTAACTGCTTCTGCCTTTTTCCGTCGTCTCGAAAAAGCTCCCGCTCATCAGAATCGACCGGTTCATTTTCTGCATGACTTTCATCTCTCTTATACGAGCACTCTGTATTTAGTGCCGGCCGACCTGACTACGACGACACCCTACTGAAGGTGCATCCACAACACGCCTAATAGGTGTTACTTTGCGAGGACAGGGCGAGCACTAATGCTCTATTTCTCAACTATCATTCACTCTCCTTTGGTGTTCTCGTTCGTCTCTTCGCAGTTGTTGCATGATTGCTGTAATTATATGATTAACTTGTTCCCAGGCATCTTTAGAGGACAGCATGTATTGTACGACTCTATAACAAGTAATATGGTTGCTTTCCTAGCATGT